TTAAATATCCTCAATATTATGTCTAGTCCTAATTCAAATTACCCTGATTTTTTCCAAAATATCTTTTATAGATGCTTTCTTTTTTTTCCAAACTAGGATATAATCATCAAATAATGCATTTGGTTAAACCTTTTTAGTCTCTTAATGTAGAACAAATCCTCCCACCTCCCTGCTATTTTATGACGATAACTTTTTGAAGAGTCCATGCCAGAATTCTTATAAAATGTCCTGCTTTTAATATTTGTCTGTTTCCCCATGGCTTTATTTAACTAATTCCTCCATCACTTTATTTCACATAAACTGGAAATGTTTGAATTGTTTAGACTGAGATAAAACATTCACTGGTATTGTGTCCTTCATGTTGCACCACCCGGGGAGGCACACTGTGGTCAGGGTGTCCCACCTGCATAGGTAGAAGTTGCCCGAGATTTCTTCATTTTCAAAGTTATATTTATTTGCCCTTGTAACTGCTCAGTGATCTGTGAAGTACTACTTAGGCACTTTGTGGGTAACCTTTTCCCCCCAAATCCTACATCCTTTGGTTCTTTTGTTCGTTTGGTTTTTTTTGGTGGCTGGCCAGTACAGGGATCTGAACCCTTGACCTTGGAGTTACCAACACCACACTCTAACCAATGAGCTAACTGGCCAGCCCTCCTTTGGTTTTTAACATAGGCTGATGGCCTTTACAATGGGGATTGTGAAGCAGTGATTTTTCTAATTCTTTTATTTCACTAAAACATGTATATTAGCTGGCATTTCACTTTAAAAAGGATTTTCTTTTCCTTCTCTTTTCCCTTCATCCTACTACTCTGTAGTATCACTGTGGACTCATGGATTAATTTTTTTCTAATTCAATTTGTTAGACTCAATAATAGTCACTAGCTATTTTGATCTTGACATTTTTTTCACACTTGGCCTGGGAGAAGTCCCTTCAGGCCAGCTGCTGTCCTTCTGATAGGACCCCTTTAGAGCACTGTACCATCCAGCACCGGTCACAGGCTCACCTTTTACCTCCCTTGTTCCAAGGTTTGGAATCACTTATTTCTCTAAAACCCTTGGCTTCTTTTAGCAGTTTTAGACTTTGGAAAGCATACACCACTGCTGGAGTGTTACTCCTGGACTCTTTCAGTGGACAGAACTAGGCAATATATGTGTCTGTGTGTGTGTACATCTACCAGGCTTCAGTAAATGTAAGTAAAAAGTGTATTAGAGATCATGAGTTCATGTAGATATTTCCAGTCCAAATTTAGCAGTGTAGAGCTTTTTCCTTGCTTATTTTATGTATTATTTTATCTCTTATCATTTACAGGGAAAATCTTGGCTACAATTATATTAATATATTTACTGTTTGCCTTATCCTAAGATATATATATGTATACAAAATAGTCACAAAATTACAATCAATATTACTGCAATAAGCAGATTGAGTAAAATTTAAGGTTTATTTGTGGTTTTTGTTTTAAAATATATCCCAGAGTATGGAAGTTTTAAAGTTATTTGAAGTAATTCTTTGTGTTATCCATTTGATATTATATGGTTCAAAAGTTAAAACTATGTTTTTAAAGAAGTATACTTTAAAGTCTTGATTCCATCCTCTCCCTATACTCTGTTCATAGCTACTTCCTATAGGTAACCATTTTTATTAGGTTTTGGATTTTTTCCCCTGTGTTTCTTTCCTAGAAACAGATTAATATTTTATGTGTATTCTTGTAATCTTTTCTGTTACATAGAAGTATTTTATATATACTGTATTGTATTTTACTATTTTCACTTAAGAAGTGATTTCTAGGAAATATTTTTCTTAGTTCAGAGAGGTTGCGATTTTTTTTAAAGCTACATAGTAGTCAAATGTGGTTGTAGTACAGCTTATTCATACACTCACTTGGTAGACATTTGGGATGCTGTAATAAACAACTTTGTATACTGTTTTTTCATGTTTAAGGAGATGTATCTTTAGGATGGATTCCTAGATGTGGGATTGTTGAATCAAAGGTGAATACATATGTAATTTTGTTAGATATTAATGAATTCCCCTCCATAGCAATTGTGCCATTTTGCCTTCCCACCAGCAACGTATGTGTGTCTGTCTGCCCACAGCCTCAAGAAAGAGTTGTTGTCAGCTTTGGTTTTTTCCAATCAGATAGTGAGAATTGGTATCTCATGGTAGCTTTTATTTTTATCTTTCTTATAAGTAAAATTGAGCATTTTTGTTCATATTTTTAAGGGCCATTTATAGATTTCTTTGGACTATCTGTTCACAGGTTTTATGTAGTAAGGAACTATAAGTGACTCTTTTTTAGCAGTGAGTACTCTTTACCCTAAAATAAATTGCCACTGTCATCCGGCTTTTTTTGGTGCCAAATTCTTCTATTCCTTAGCCTTGTTGGGTGAGTAATCTTTAGGATTTTTTTAAAAAAAACTTTGTATATTTCAATGAATATTGCACATTAACTGTTCAAAATGTGGATTAAGATGTAAAGTTGTTTTGTTGGCATAAATTGCAGAATGGCACCAGGATGCCAATTTTGTTCATTTTCTTACAGATCTGTGATTAAAGGCACAATACTTCAAACTTATGGTTTATACAGTTGCTTTTATAAGAAAATGAAAATACGAGGATGCTTCAAAAAGTTCGTGGAAAAATAGAATTAAAAGGTAATCTGGATCTTTCCATGAACTTTTTGAAGTACCATTGTGTATTGTAAAAATAGGTAGCAGATCACTGGTAGTATGTTTGGGAAGTGCCTTTAGTAATGATGTCATGAAGGGATTGAATTACTTTTATTTACTTAACTCTCAGTTATTAAGCTGACTACTATCATAGTAAATTGGTATTTTAAAATTAGAGTGAAGTGGAAACATCAGCTGACTGCCTGGAAACGTAGCTGTGTAGGAGTTAGCTTAAAGCGCAGAGGAACAGATAGGAGCATTTAGTTTATAGAAATAATTATGATAGAGTTCCAGGGTTGTACCTGTTGCTTTAGGTGTTGTAAAGAAGCAAGCCATCTTTTATGGGATATACTTAAAAAACGATGTCATCCTGTATTTAATGGGGTGAGAGGAGTGAGAATATTTAAAGATGGTATTGATGTTTGTATACTTGTAAAAATGCAGAAGTTATAAAATACTTACAATCTTCATTGGATCTGTAGATTAAGTAGTGGTTCTAATTCCTGGGAGGAAGCTCAAATATCTATTACTTTGCTTAACCATATTTGATTTAAAAGACCAACCAGCAGTTGAAATTTTGTCTATTGCTATTTAGAGCAGAATCATCCCAACTTTGATAGAGGAATCCATGGCTGAATATTGCTGTGACTAAAGAAAGATTATTTCTCACTTTGTTCTGGAAGTTTTGTTTCCATCCTCATTTGGATTGGCTTCTGAGAAGCCATAAAAGAAAGGGTACTGATTGCATTAAACATGTTCCTTCTCTGGACACGTGGTAGTGCAGGTACTGTTCTCGCCTTCTTGGTACCTGCAGACTCATTTTATTGGAAGACAGCAACTGACAGACTTTGCACAAGAGAAAATATACTGGCTGAATATTGATCTTGGTTACATACACGTTCTCTCTCTCATTCTTGACATATCTTTTTTTAAAAAAAGCTGTTGTATAAAAATCTGAACAAATTGGAGGAGAATACTTTGCAGCATAAAAATTTAATACTTTGTGTTCATTGCATATTTTCTCAAAATATTAGATGGCCTTAAAATATTTAAAAACTACCAGTATTTGGACTCACACATAATTTCGTAGTAATACCTTTATATAAAACTGTAACAGTACTTTTGTATAAAGCAAAGTTCTTTTTACCCTTTTAGCTATTTTTGTGCCAGAAAAGAATCTAAAGGATGACAATTATAGTTAGCACTATGAAATAACCCATCTAAATATTAACTGGCATCCTCAACTCTCCAGAACCTGCTACCGAGCAGAAAGCAAGCAGAACAGACTTCTGATTTGCCATCAGAATTGTCAGAAATTTCACAAGAGAAATCTTTGACCTTCTGTCAACATTTATTTACTCTTATGTTATAAACAGCTTAATTATTTGGTTTCCTAACTTTAGAAGCAATAAAATGGTGGAACAGGAAGGATGAGTTAGGACAATGATAGAAAAAAACTTGCTGTCACTAGCAATAAGTGATGTGGACAGAGAGGCAGGAACCAGGAAAACTTCTGAAAAGATTTTATGGTTAAAATTATAATAATAACAAAAATAACAACAAACACAAAGTCATCCCCCAAATTCTTCACAGTTCAGTAACTCACCTACTACTTTTCTGTTTCTGGGCATGTTAAACTCTTAGCCCCACCCTTAAAATGGGTTTAATATTACTTAAATCAACAGAATCATTATGTGGATTATATTGCTGAGATTGCATATTTGAAAACATTTAGCACAATATCTGGCATAATGTAACTGCTCACCAAATGTTAGTCATTAGTTTAATCTTATAATGATTTGAATCTCAGTAGTGAAGCTATGTTCATTGTACTTATATTTTCTGTTGTTGTATTCCATCCAAAATGTCAAGCTTACCTGCTTATCTGCAGTCTGCATATTCAGAAAGCTCTGAAAATTGTGTGAATTTATCACAAACTTTTTTGGCCCCAAACAGACCCAAATTGACATCAGACTATAGAGAGTCTTTATCCTACTTTGTGCATTATTTGCTGTTTCAGTGTTTTACTTAGAAATGTAAAGATGTTTGGTAATGGGGTGCTGCCTCAGACCTGCTAGAGGAATTATGTGTGCACCCATGTTATCTTTATAAAATCTGAAAAATTCTGAATTCCAAGATACTTGTGGCCCTGAGAGTTTTGGATGAGAGATTATGGATCTTCGGTATTTAATATATATTTGAATTGAATTGAAAGGAAAAATTTCATGTGATGTTATTTAATGAGAAGACATTGTAGATATTGAATGTTTGATCATCTTAGAAATGTTGATTGAGCTAATTAACACAAGTCATTGTGTTCTCTTTCACAGCAAAATGAAAAGGAAAACTTGTTGAAGGAAAGAGATCACATTTTGTCAACTCTGGGTGAGACAAAGCAGAACCTAACTGGACTTTGCCAGCAAGTCTGTAAAGAAGCAGCTCTAAGTCAAGAACAAATACAGATACTTGCCAAGTACTCAGCCGCAGATTGCCCACTTTCCTTTTTAATTGCTGAAAAAGGAAAAACTACTCCTGATGGTGAGCTTGCATTATCATCAATTTTTAATTCATCTGACGGGCCTCCCAGTGCAAGTGGAAACAGTGAGTGCAGCTATGTGCGGGGGCAGGAATCACAGCAGACCCCCACAGCCGCCTCTGAGCAAGGTGGACTTGTGGAACAGTGTCGTCAGAGTGGCGGGATCTCAGATTTCTGTCAGCAGATGACCGATAAGTGTACTACTGATGAGTAAACGTGCATTCACTTCTTCAAGCCACCTAATTCTCTTCTGAAGTTTTGGCAGTCTTGAAAGCCTAATACAGCCATCTGTTGCTTAACAATATTGTTTTTTCCCTGTTAGTTTGCTCTTAAAGGAATTTCTCTTAAGTCAACCCTAATTTTTCCTTGAGTCCACAAGAGACACAGAAGTGATTTGCCTCCTGGATACTGAAAAATCACATGCGAAAATGTAGTAAGACTTTAAAACTCAGGTTTTAAAGACTAATAACTATTGGTAATAACTCTTTCCAGTATTCAAAGTAAATATGAGAGTAAAAACTGCAGCATACCGAACAGTAGTTTAACAGCTTGAAATATCTGCAGATAGTTCCTACTAAATAAGTGGCCTGCAGGAGTTTAATAATCTGACCTTGTTGTAATATACTGGTTTAAAAGAAAATTTCTCCCCAAGCAATGCTAATAGTTTTATTCTACGCAGAAGTAGGGTGTCAGCTACTTGGAATATTTGTGTAGAGCTGCAGTGTGAAAAATAAATCATCTTGCCTGAATCTTAGAGCTTTGCTCTTTAGCTCCTTCTAAAATGATTGGACTTCATTTTGACTCCTAAGCTAAACTAGGAAGATTTAGTAAACGGACAGGTGGTTGGCCTAAGGTGAGGTCTTCTGACCTTCCTCAATATTGACTGTAGAAATTGTGGCTACATAAACAGTAAATAAGTGTCATTTTCCATTTTTGTATTTTTCTTCTTCAGTCTCTATGACATCTGGGCCCATCATGAACTTTCTGTTTCTTGACGTTCTTGTCCCTTTGGAAGAAGAAATAGGACACAAGATAAAGTGGCCTGAGTGAATGCTCTGTCAGGATTATCTTAGGCTTCCTAGAATGAGTGAGAGCTCACCAACATACAAGGCTGTTCACTTTCCACCATGGGTCACCAATGCCAGACAACCAGATACTGGGGGGAAGAAAATTGCCTATGTTTACCAGGAGTGTAGTTCATTTATCATCCTACTTTTGAAGTCCTACGGTTTACTTGTAAAAAGCATTATTGTAGATAAAAATGTATCTGCAGCAACTCTGCAGGTTTGTGAAAGAGGGTGAAACTAGATCTTGTACTGTTGTGAGTTTGCATTTGGAAACCAGGTTTAATCCTTGCTCTCTTCCCCAAATCTGGTGTGGTATAAAGGCACACAAGTCATTTTGACTTAGGCATTTTAAAAATCAGTCTTTGTGTTTATTTGATCCTGTTATAAAATGTTTTTATAATATCATGACCTATTCCATAACATTTTGCAGTGGTCCTTAGGCATTCTGGAATTACAGACTTGTTTGAGAGTCTCATGAAAGCTATGGACCTTCTCAGCAATTAAAAAAACTTACATATATTCACATTCACAGAAACATTTGCAGAAGCCAGTTTTAAAGGGTACATAGGAGTAGTTTATAGTGTTTGAAATAGAAAGTTCTTCATTTCACTACAGTCAGACACCGAGAGACTCTTATAGACTGCATCTGGAGTCTGATGAAGGGCCTGTGTAGCTCGTGTGGGAGACAGCCACCTCTTATGTATGAACAAGTCTGAGACCTTTGCCATGAGAGTATGTGGGGACCAGTCTTAATGTTTCATAGTAATTTGTCAAACGTTACCGTTTTTGATCAGGGCGTGGGGGGAGGATATTGCCAGTTTATTTTTCAGTGGTATGTGAGTTATTTCTGTTATTGACTTAGTTTTAAGAGAAAACTAGCTGGGCTTGTTTATTTTCTAGAGGATTTCATAAGTACTCAAAAATTTGTCAGGGAGAATGGTAATTCTATGATAATGCATCCCATGCTACAAATGAATTTGTGCGTGTGTAGGTGTATCTGTATATATCATCCCATGTAGCTATTTCTTGGAGACATGTAATTT